TCCCCCCACGTTTGAATACACATCAGTCGACACATTCATGTTTACACCACACCATGCTATTATATTTAGTAACCTTTACACTACATATAATATTCGAACACTTTGTGATGAAAACACTTTTTCAGATTCATTGATAACTGATGTTCTTATTCCATGAAAAGAGTACTTCTGAGGAGGCACCCAGCTACAGTCGTGCTGGAGCAACTGCTGGAAAACTGAGGACCAGAGCTGTCTCCACAGATATCTGCCAGAACCCTAAAGCTACAACATGTCAGAAAAAAAGGTAGGTTATTGCTTTTGCACATTGTGAATAAACACCTCATAAACGAATGACATGTTACCATAATAACGCGCACTAATGCTGACAGATGCACGTAATTACCAGCATTCAGTGTCTGTCTTTCCAGTTATAAATATCAAAGGTTAACATAACACAATAATAGTGTGAAATGTATCTAAATGTTTTAAAAATCCTTAATCCAAACTGGGGGTCTGTATTATTTGTAGTATTCGACACAATACTGTTCTATAGTAATGTGTAAGTTGCTAATTCTATATATGTATTTCAATAGGTACTCAAGCAAAACCCAACACTCAAGATGATTCTACAGAGACAGATCAGTCTTGCATGGTGCTGTTCTCCACACCAATAAGATCATCTACGCCTGGGCTCGGTGTTGGGTCAAAGAAGAGACGTCATACTGACATTTTTTAGGAAGACAAGGAGGATACTGACATCTCAGAGATTTCCCCACCACAACCACAAGACTCGACTTATGAGCCTGGGGCCTCTCTCGCTGATGTTTCTGAAATGACGTAAGTATCTATGTATACAATGTATATTTCGATTACCTACAATATCAATAATATTTTTGTATTTTGGTCATATTTTGTTCACAAACAGAGAAACAGAATGTCCCTCTACAAAATGTCACAAAATACATAGTGTTTGACAGCAAATTGAAGTCCCTATTTGAAACATGCCCAATTTGCACGCATGATTCAGAGAAGGACTTTTGGGACATTTGTATCATTCACACAGGATTGCCCACACTGCCTGTATAATCGGAAGTGGGACAGTCAGCCGATACAGGGGAGCACACCAGTTGGCAATCTACAACTTTCTGCAGCAGTGTACTTTTCAGGCAGATCCTTTGTAAATCTGGAAAAGGTAACAATGGCACAACAAAACATTGAGTTCATTTTGACCATTGTGTTTATCATACATAATGTGTTTTTCAGATATGTAAAGCAATGCACCTTCAAATCCATCAGTACAACTCATTTAGGAGACATTCACGCCAGTTTCTTGAACCAGCAATCAACCACAAGTGGAGGAAAGATCAAGAGAAGTTTTTGGTGGATTTGAAGAAGGGCAAAATAGCTGTGGGTGGTGATATGAGAGCAGATTCACCAGGTAGGGAAGGTAATGTCAGCATATTATTTTACATTGCATGTAAAGTTTTTTCAACGTTTTTAGGACACAGTGCCAAGTATGGCAGCTACACACTAATGGAACTTGAGAGTGAGAAGGTGCTTGACATAAAACTAGTACAGGTAGGTCTAATAATAATTATTACACAATTTATTGTCTTTTCAATACAAATGACAGTGCAAATAAATGTTTGTGTTTCCTTAGAGCAATGAGGTAGGAAGTTTTTATATGTGTAGTATGACGAGGGTCGTGGGCTCACATTTGGTGGACTAAACCAGCAATGCCAGGGTCTTGAAACCCAAATTAAAATAACAGTACCGCCCTAAGGCACACAGGTAAGTTCATAAAAAGGAGAAGCATGTTCCATGAGTGAGCATATTTATTATATCTGATTTTCTCGCTCTCTTTCGTTTGTCAAAAGTGTACAAAAGCTAGTGCACATTACATATTGACAATGTATCCATGTGTCTACTCTTGGTGAAATAAAAAGACAAGTAAATGGAACAAGAAAAGTAAATGCGGAAAAGAAAGGCGAGATGGCAGCGGGGGTCACGTCCCGATCTTGCACCCTGTCTTGAAAATAAAATATTAGAAACGGCAGGAACATAGGACCACAACTCGCGCTAACCTCTCTGGAACATTATCGTTGCGCACAGTCAGTAGGCCGTTGTGCACAACACTCCGTGTCCAGCCCACACCTGGACCCACAAGAAAGGGCAGGCAGCTGAGCCAGTTGCACAGGAACGCGACCCATAACAGCACACCCCTAGGCTACAGAAAGCAACTATATTAATACAAAGACGTGAGATTAAAAAGTCTGAAGGATGCTACCTGTACTGTCAGGAGGGTTGACACCAAGGCGGAAGTCTGCGTGGCGTAGACAGAGAGAGGCGCATTGAGGCGTTTTATACCTCCGTGCGCCTCCGGCTGGTGGCCACGCAGATCTACATCACCACATATGGAAAAAGAAGGATTGCGCCGGTGTTTAGATTTCCTGTGGGAAAAGAGTCTTGAAATGGACTATATTGTCACAGACCGTCACACACAAGTCAAAACATTTCTACGGAGCAGAGATGTAACCCAGTACTATGATGTCTGGCATCAGGTTTGGAATGAATTTTGTGTGAAAACAAAAAAAACGTGTAGGTGTTATCTTATATGAATGCATATTTGTGTTATATTTTAGGTGTATCCAAAAAATCTGATAAGTTGTCAAAAGAGAAAGAGTGCCAGGTGGTGAAAAAATGGACTGCAGCCATAAGAAACCAAATATACTGGGTTGCATCATCCAAGACAGGATCTGAGAAAGTGGCAAAATGGACATCCCTTGTCAATCACATTCAAAATGTTCTTACTCATGATGACCCTGAGTTTCCCAAATGTGCACATATGAAGCTTTGCGCAAGTTCACCCTGGTAGACCCGGTGTTCTGTCGAGTTGTGCCGCTCGTCGAGTTGTGCCGCTCAGCTGTTAATGCTGTAATGAATGATTGAATGATCTCACGGCAGCTGAAGCAAACCAAGATGGCGGTCCGTGAATAGCTTTAAAAGTTATAATACGAACAAATTAAGATAAGACACAAATGTCACTTTTAATGCAATTTGAAGCGAGATGTTGATGGTTCTGTGTTGTCACATGTGGGTTTTAAGAGCCAAAGTTTCGTGCAAAGTTTAGTTTAAGCAGTCAACTGCGCCTGTGAAACCACAATGTTTTCATAGTAGCCTCCGCGGCTGCTGACGTAGGCTGATGACTGTGGCAACTCTACAGCTTACAACTGGTCTGTCGGGTTGATAATGGAAAATGGGGAAAACATTTATCTAATTAAATATTTCGTTTGAACACACTGTTGTTAATCATATTGAATACAGTACGATACATGCATTAAATTAAATTTATTATTTCCATTATCAACCCAACAGAGCAGTTGTAAGCTGTAGAGTTGCCACAGGACCCATTCCTCTCTGCAACAGCTGGGGCGCTGGTCCTCGTCGGCTCTCTCCGCCTACATCAGGCCAGAAGCAACTGCTATCATTGCAGCACAGCGACTACTGGCATCCTCATAGCTTGCAGCGTCTGGCGAACATAATGCACCGAGCTTGACTTGCACTCTACTCCCCGGAGTGGGTGCTGAGCAGCCCCGCGCTCATATTCTCAGCTCGCTAGGGATAACACCTGCTCCTAGCTTGCAGCGTCTGGCGAACATGATGCACCGAGCTTTACTCGCACTCTACTCCCCAGAGTGGGTGCTGAGCAGCCCTGCGCTCATGTTCTCAGCTCGCTTAGGCCCCGCTATCTTCTGCTCCAAACAGGTGCAGGCTCCCATCAGACGCAGCCTGGCTGAGCGACCGTGCTGAGAAGCCTCGCACTCATGCTCTCAAGCCTGCGCAGTGCGTCCTGCTATCCCATCGCAGTCCCGCATCTTTGAGGGATCTCTATCCGCGCGAGCAAGCGCCGCGCTCAACAGCATCGCTCCGGGGCCTAGGGCGCCAAACATGTTTAATAAAATACTTCAAATTGCATTTCCTGTTGTGGGTCTCTCCAGGATGAAATGAAGCTTTGCGCAAGTTCACCCTGGTAGACCCGGCCTTCTACTGCCCAACTCCTCCAGGCCTGCTCTCATCCTCGGCTCATCGCACAGCAACACCCACGTCCAGTCAACCAATAACCGCCAGGCCAGCGAGTTAAAAGCCGGAGACGCCCACTTCCCGGCCTTCTCAAGCTTTTGTCAGGAATGAAGCAGACCGAGACGGATCGCTGACACTTTGCATCCTCCGCCGCTCCACCTCCTCCTTCTCCCATTTCGAGCGTGCTTGCCTGCTGCCTCGGCCGCCACCAGTGCCTAGGCCCTGTGGGGGATCTCTATGCGCGCGAGCATGCGCCGCGCTCAACAGCATCGCTCCGGGGCCTAGGGCGCCAAACATGCTTAATAAAATCCCTCGAATTGCATTACCTGTCGTGGGTCTCTCCTGGATGAACCAGAGAAAGAGTCAAAGGATCGAAGCAAATGGTTTCTGCCAGGTTTAGAAAAGCATAATTGTATTTTGACGCCAGAGTTGTGTGTTCATGTTTACCAATACATTGTTTATTTACTCAGGTTCTGCCCCATTGTACAAAGTAGAAAAGCTACTTGTGAACAAGAGACTGCTGGAAGATGTGGAGAAACTCAGCTCTGAGCACCAGACATCATCACTGGAGGCGTTTCATAGCGTTATTCTTCGCTTTGCCCCCAAAAATGTGGTGTACCCTTTTGTCGGAATGATGTGCAGGTAACATAACTAAATATTTGTTTGTAAAAATTAGTGTTACAAATCTTTTCTACATTTAAACTGTTTTTTGCAGGTTGTTTTTGGCAGGAATGCACAATGAAACGTGAGCAAGCATCTTCAAAAGGGCAGCCTTTATTCAAAGTTTCCTGCCCAAAGTACAAAAAAGGAAAGCCAACAGCAAAGCCTGTCAAAACAAAGCCGACACTTGGTAAACAAAGTGTGTGTGTGTGTGTGTGTGTGTGTGTGTGTGTGTGTCAAATGAAATATAACTAGTTATAAAACTATTCACACTTTTGCAGGATATGTCTCTGAGCTGATGCATCTCGTCTTCACTGAGGTCTTCTCCGAGCCAGCTCCTTTTATTGAAGAGTTGAAGACTGTCCCTGTGCCTAAAGACCTCAGCGCTCAGTTTGAGGAAGTTTCCAAGGGAGATGTGATTGCTGCACACGTTGTCGAGGGGCAGGCCAGGCTGACCAGAGGGTAGAAAGCCAACGTACTGGCCTTCAGGATCTGGGAACTCCTGGCGTATCCTGATCACTGCACATGCAGGGATGACCACCCTGATTCTGGCTCCCAGCAGTCCCCAGCATGAAATTTACTGTCCCATGTACTGTAATTTGCTGTCCTATTTATTTTCTTTTTCATGTCGTGTCATTCTTTTTTAACTGTCTGTTGGACAGTTAGTGTCTAACAAGAAGGACTGATGATCCAGGACACTCAACACTACAATATTTATGGTCATCTGCCCCTTATGGATCAATGACTCTGTGTTTGTTTCATTGCATTTCTTGTGTTCTCCTTCAAACTGGCCCATAGTCTGCACAATAAATATTTATGGTTTGCAGAACAAAAATATGAATATTCATTGCAAAGCCAGGTCTATAATGCAAGCAGGTGGATCAGGCAGCTGATTTATCCGTCTCAGAACCTACATGTATATATGAAGTGAGAAATGATGTCATTGAATAATTATTATTATAGTCCATCGATTTATTGTATAATATTTTCAGCATTGTTCCCCAATTACTATAAATACATAAAGTGGGTGACACATCTTTGAGCTTGTTTAGACTTTTGTATTGTTACTGTTCACAAAATGCATTGTTGATATTCAACGCCTTTATGATTAATTTTACAATTACCTGTGGCATATATTTTCTCTTCCTGTAGGCATTGTCCTACAGTTCCAGCACCTACAAACAATTACAATCAAAGTGTCACCTGAGGTACCTTTTTAAAAGTTCACGGTAACAGTAAATAAAACCAGAAACTAAAACCAAGGACACAGCTAAGTATATAAAAACAAACTACAGAGACAAGACTTAAAATGTGCGATTAGAATTTTATTAAAAAGCTGGAGCAATTAAGAGTTTTTAAAAAACATTTAATTCATTGCAATGTAATTATTAAAAAGTCCAGAAGCCAAAATATAAAAAACCCACCAAAAGGTATAAAAGCTGCAGCCCCTGGGCATCATAAAAATTCAATATACTAAAATAAACTAATAACTAAATGAATCCAACGAGGGCGACCTGCGCGGGGAGTAGCCCCACCCGTAACAAAACTGAAAGTGCTACCTTCACTCACAACAAAACAACTGAAGACCCAATAGTGCAAATAACTGAAAGAAACTGGGCTAGGTCCCCCTCAGGCGCACCCCGGGAGAACTAAATATAACTAAACTATACACCCTAAGCTCCAGAGTCTACAGCATTAAAACCTAAAAACCATTATTTAAATGTGCAGTGCTAGATTAAAAAAAACACAACAGTAAACTAAAGGCAAAACCAAAACCCTACGAAACAGTAGCAGGCTACTCCTCAATGCTGTTTACGATTCCCAGGGGAAATCTGCCACCGGGTAATCCAGCCCTGACAAATTATTAAACTACATTAGAAACCAGACGTTTGTTAAAATAAGGGTGGAGGAGAGTTAAACCTTTACCTGGCACCAGCGAGCAGGGAGCCGAGACTGAGCATAACGTAGCAGCCATTTTTATGCTCAGCTCCGCCACAATATGCCCCCAGTTTTTCCTTGACGACCCGGCAATGCCCCTAATCCCATGGCCTAAAATATGCCCCAACTGCACCACTCACACCCCCAATCCAGGAGGTAGCAGCCCCTCCTAACGTAGCAGGGAGACGAAAGGGATTTGGATGTCGACCAGCTGTGACCCGGGTTGTTCTCCTGGGACCTCCCGATTCCGGCTCTTGGACTGCGAGGGCCACTGAGTGCACAGCAGAGGGAGGAGAGTTATTAATTGTAGGGGCGGTTATACCTGCCTGTGGTGGAGATGTTGTAGTCGCTACTCCTGGGACAGGTCCGCGGACCACAAAAACGAATGGCTCCTCGTCCTCTTCCTCGGTCTCGATCTTGTTCCCAGGTAATGGGCTTGGCTGTTCCTGAGGGCAGAGGTTATCTGGCACAGGCTTGAGCATGCTTCGGTGTACAGTCCTTACCCTCTGTGGCTCATGGATAGGCGCAACAGAGTATACCGGACCACCTAAACTCGGGGCTTTCACCACAACGTGGATCTCTGGACTATGTATTATTTTTTTTCCCTAAATGCCACTTGTATTTTTATTTTCTGTGCTACAGGGAGAGCAGTAGAGATCCTCTCACAAATGGACGGGCTAAAAGAAACTTCAAGCGGAGAACCTTCAACCATTCATCCAGATGCACCCCATGGTAGTGGCAGTGACCCTTCTGGTAAGTGTACCAGGTGGGGGATTACAGCCAGGCTGCTTGGTCCTAACCCTGGGAGTGTATATTGCTAATATATGTTTATTTCTCTCCCTAGAACGTGTAAGAAAGCCATGGTCTGCATCTGAGGTGAAGGCTGTGGAGAAGACCATGACGCCTTTCATACAGACTGGAAAAGTCCCTGGGAAGTCTCACTGCCTGGCCTGCATTAATGCCTCACCAGATGACCTTAGACATCGGACATGGAGTGGCATTAAATTCTATGTCAAAAATAGAATCACTGCAATTCGAAAAAGAAATCAAAAATAAAATTCCTTTAAAAGAGTTGTTTGTTTTCTATTGACTGTTTTGTATTACTTAAAGTAGTCCCAGTAAAAAAGATCATGTCTATGGGTCCCATTCTGAACGGCCCTGTCAAAGGGACCCACCAGGTAACAAAAACGTGTGTGTATGTGTGTGTGTGTGTGTCCCATGGGAGGGAGGGGACAAAAATATTTACATTTTCGCGCATTTATTTTCTGCTTCATAACCATTGCCATTTCTGTATGCAGCGCAACACAAAACATACTGTATACTGTATTTAAAAAAAAATCTGTATACCATGTGTGTTAGCATTGTTCATCTACTTGATCGTCATCTTGATCGTATTTTGAAACGCCACCGGAAGTTACCTGTGTTTAACTATTGGACCCTTCACTTCCTGGTTTGCGTAATGAAACGCCAGTGGCCTCAAACCACGTCCTGTTCAGACAAATGTATTCAATGTCGCCTTTTCAGCCGGCGGACTCTTATCGGTGTTTATCTTCAGCGCTGGGAGGGGTTAGCTTAGCCGCTCTTAGCCCCCGCATTAGTCTGGCTGCTGCTGTGACTTCTGACAGGTGAGTTCCACAGGAGTAACTAGTAGCTAGATAACTACAGGAAAAGTCTGCGTACTTATAACATTCAGCAAAATTTGAGTATGCTAGTCCTGATTCTGAGTCTAAAAACATGTGTTAGCTTCAGTGATCAAGCTACTTGATTTGTGTAGTGAGCTAAGCTACAAGTTACTCTACAAGTAGCTAAGTTACAAAATCATGTCAAAAGTAGCTTGATATAGAAGCTACTATCAATTAAACAAACTGCAGTCCATGCAATTTTAGTGATAAATACAACTGTCAGATAAGGGTTAAAATGTAGATATTTATTGAACAATAGCCCAAAACAGAAATTATAGCAATTAGCCATTACAAATTAACATGTATTTCATTAGAACTGTTTTTTTTAACTGTTGTTAACACGGATTCACATTTGTTACACGGATTCACATGTAACAAATGTGAATCCGAGCTAATGACTAATTAAAGAACTTCTCACCCCTGCTCCTCGAGGCTTACGTCATTCACATTTCCTTTTCAAATCGTCCTCCAAATGGGCGTAGCCTGGAGGACTAAAGGGGACAGGCGGGGGTGAATGTTGGGCGGGTCTAGGCTGTGATTGACACTTGACAATAAAAGCAATAGTGACTAAAACTACAATATTCAACAACAACGCTATTAACACTACACAATTATCAATAATACTAACAGCTATGCTAATAAAAACCTACCTAAAAGCTATAACTAATCGCAAACCTGACAATCGATGAAAATACTGTTATTCCTTCCTTCCTTCGCTAGGGGGGCGTAAACGAGACTGGGCCGTTCACACTCACCGGGTGTCAGGGCAACTGACGTCAGCCTTCACTGCAGACGTCAGGTATCACTGCTGCGCCAATGTTGGCGCCAGATTCAAAATTCAAATGTAGTAAATACAGGCCGCCTACAGATGGCGCCTCACTGACGGCTTTAGGCAGAAAGTTGATCTTTCAACTAATTTGCACTAAAGTGACTAAATTATGACCAGGATATGTACACGACACTATTGGACCCTCATTTATACTGTTTATCTGCCAAAAAAAGTGGGTTGTCCTTTAAGCAAGAATACCCTCTGAAATTGAAAAGAAAGTTTTCAAATGAACTGTGCTAAGAACTATGTCTGACCAGTTTAGGAAAACAATCGTAACGGCCATCACACAACCTTAATATCAATCACAGAGGAACTTGGGATCTTGGGATTACAAAGTAGGCATCTAAAAACATATTTCTGTTCGCTCGTCTCGACTAAAGTGACCATACTTTTGGAGGTATGGCCACGGTAACAGTTTGAGAGTCCTCCGCGACCGCGGCTCCTGGGCTCTCTGCCGTCCTGTCACTTCCCTGAAGCCTAGCGTACATCGACAGAGAAACTGGAGACAACTAGTTGCAAGGCGGCTTTTGGCAACTGAGAGGAGATGGTGGGAGATGATCAGTTGCCGAAATCGGTCGATGTGCGCGCTCTTACAACTGGAGATGATCAGTCGGTCTCCAGTTCCAGTCAGTTGCCCGTGTTCTACTTTTCGGCAACTAGTTGTCCTCAGTTGCTCCGATGTGCGCGCTCCATGCGCCGCTCCAACAACGTGTGTGTATTGCGTGTATAGCGCGCCCGCAACAGTTTATGTCAGAAAACACACTGTAGTTGAGGCCAGTTGCTGTCGATGTACGCGCTGTTATTCAAGAGACTGGCCTGCGACTCAGAGTTGCCCGTTTTCGCCAGATTGTCGATGTGTGCGGGGCAGCAACTCAGAGGCGACGGATATAATCAGTTGCCAGTCCGATGTACGCTAGGCTTCAAGAAGCGCGCGCATGTGTGGCTGCGAGTGTGTCCGTGCGCGCGATTGTGTGCGCCGTCACCAAGACATGCACATTAGCATTCTGTCTTCCTAAT